CTTTTTTTTTTATTTTCCCACCAGACCCCTTTGGAAAAACCCAGGCACGCGGTACCACGTACCTGGGTCCATCAGGCAGCGGCGCAACGAGGACCGAGGACCGAGTACCGGGTACGGCGTGGCAGGGGGGACACGTGGAAGATGGATGGCTGGACAAACGGCATGGCGAGGAACGGGCTGCCACATATCGTGTAGCCGAGGAAACAAACGGCTGTTTGCTCGACGCCCCGGAGTCCCTGGGGCCCTGGGGAGATTCTAGGCCCCAGTTCGACACGCCAAGGACGCAAGCCGTGCAGGAAATAACCATGCAGTCTGACCATGGCCGTTCCACGGACAACCAACAATGTTTATCAGATTGCACGGCTACTAGCACTAGGCAAACGGTGACGTCTGCGGCTGGAGAGGGCGAGAAGGGATCCGTCCAGATGCGTTTTGACGGCAACGAGAAGCGGGCCTTTACAGGAAGAATGGTCCATGGTCGTGCAGGGTCTCGTTTTCTGGAAATTTGGGGGGTGGCACACGGACAAGTCGCCGACACGTCCGTCCCATCTTCTCCGCTGGTGGTGAGATTTGCGTCTTTGGAAAACCAAAACCAGTCTAGTTTGCTCGAGAAAAACCGACATGAGACGGGTCGCGTCCCAGCCTGTCGAGCCCGCGACAGGTCTCACCAAGCATCTTGATGGCTGTGTCAAAAGGCGAGCTGTTGTGATAGTAAGAACGGTAGCCTAGACCGTTTGATGACGTGCATCTTCTCCATCTTTGACGGGTCTCGAATTCGCCAAGGAGCTCCCTTTAGCGTTGAACCGAGGGATGCGACCCCGAAATACGACCGGGGTTGTTTGTGGGACATGGGGACGTAACACTTGTACGTTCTGTACGACGCGCAAAAAGCGCAAAGTGCCTGATTTGAAAGAAGAGCAAGATTGGCAAACGGGCTGTGTCGGCCAGTGCGACCAGGTGGTTGCGGTGAGGAGCAGACTTGTTGCTCGAGTACTCCGTACGGGAGTATTTTGCGAGATTCGATGTTTGGACATTAGTGGCCATGTCTGTGGCTGATACTCGTGGCTATGGCTGTGGCTGGTACTAGTCAAGTCGTGACCGTCTAAAAATCCATTTACGCGCCCAAAGACGCGTCTGACGCGCTCTCTGCTGAACCTCACAACCGATACCTCCAGTGCCTTGCGCTTCATCGCACCAAGATTCGACCGACCTTGCCATCCGTAGACCCTCTCGGCACTCAGTTTGAATCTGAAATGCCACACTCAATTACTGACGCAAAGTCGTCTCCAGGTGCCGTCAAGGACGAACCCATGGACGACTCTGGTGTTCCTGGCCGCATTGGCCCGGCTGCCAGTGACGACGACGATGTTGACATGGACGATACAGATGATGTCGCTGTCATCAGGAAGGACATCAGGCTTACCGATATGGTTGATACCGACGACTCGGACGACGAAGAGTTTCCTAGTTCTGCGCCAGTCAAGCAACCGCCCTCTAGCCCTCCGGCCAGGATACCATCCCCAACGTAAGTTGCGAGGCTCTCTTTTTTTTGTGTTGCCTTTGTGTCATTGACACCTCCCCGGATGATTACTAGTGATTACAAAAAATATTGACCAGTCCTATACAGTGACATTGGTGCGTTAAAAGCATCCGATCCTGAGGTTATGAGGAGTTTCTACCAACGTCTGTTTCCGTGGCGCCAGCTCTTCCAGTGGCTAAATCATAGCCCAACTCCCACCAACGACTTTGGAAATCGAGAGTTCGCCTTTACTCTCCAAAATGACGCGTACCTGCGATATCAATCGTTTGCAACAGCTGATCTGTGCGTACAGCACCGCTCTTTCGCATCAACACCCCCCACCTTCTTTCTGCTCGCCTGTTGCGGTACTAACATGATTCTTCCTAAAGGCTCCGCAAAGACGTCCTCCGTCTCATGCCCTCACGTTTCGAAATCGGTCCTGTGTATTCTACGAATCCGCGAGACCGCAAGATGCTCCGCAACTCATCTGCTTTCAAACCACTCGCCAAGGAACTCTGCTTCGATATCGATTTGACCGACTATGACGACATTCGAACCTGCTGCGACAAGGCCAACATTTGTAACAAGTGCTGGAAGTTCATGACCATGGCTATCAAGGTGGTTGATGTTGCACTGCGTGAAGACTTTGGCTTCAAGCACATCATGTGGGTGTACTCGGGTCGACGTGGTGCCCACGCTTGGGTATGCGATAAGAAAGTTCGCAGTTTAGACGATCAGAAGAGGAAGGCGATTGCCGGCTATCTTGAGGTTGTCAAGGGAGGAGCACAAAGTGGCAAAAAGGTCAACGTTCGGAGACCATTGCACCCTCACTTGGCGTAAGTTTGCTCCTTTATCTTAAGCTTGGCAACATCCGTGACGGGGTTGTTGTACGAGTACTAACAAAGGCCGCAGTCGAAGCCTTGAGATTCTCAAGACGCACTTCCAGGAAGACGTTCTGGAAGTACAAGACCCCTGGGGCACAGAGGAACGATATGAGAAACTCTTGCAATTACTTCCCGATCGCATCCTGAACGAATCCCTACGTCGTAAATGGGATGCCGCCCCTGGAAGAGCTTCAGTATCCAAATGGGCTGACATTGACGCTGTGGCCAAGACTGGCGCTAGCAAGAACCTGGATGCGCGGGCGCTCCTTGAAGCAAAGCAGGACATTGTCCTTGAATACACCTACCCACGACTCGATATCGAAGTTAGCAAGAAACTCAACCATTTGCTCAAGAGCCCCTTCGTAGTGCATCCCGGAACCGGCCGTGTGTGTGTGCCAATTGACACCAGAGAACTCCAAGATTTTGATCCCTTGACAGTTCCTACCGTCCAGGAACTTCTCGGGGAGATTGATTCTTGGAAAGGAGACGACGGTGCCGCAAGTCAGGACGACAGTGGCAAAGGTATCTCGGATTGGGAAAAGACGAGCCTCAAACCGTATGTCGAATATTTCCGGTCATTTGTCAACGGAATCATGAGGGAGGAGGGAGATGTGCGAATAAAGAGGGAAAGGGAGAACACGATGGATTTCTAACGTTGAACAAATGGATAGAGTATGCTTGTGGGACAATGAAGCATTCCATGGGGATCATACATGATGCATTCCAGTGAAGATCTTTATCCATTGACCTTTTGTTTTGCGATATAACTGTAATGAACAAGGCTATAAATTGGCTGGCGTAACCACAAGTCTTATATATATACCTGGACCTTTTTGTGTCTTCTTTTTTTATTCCGTTCTCAGCTCTCCTTTGGGTCTTGACCATTGCTGCCCTTGGCCTCGTCCTCTCCATTCTTCTCTCCGTCCCCATCCTGATCTCCTTCATCTCCATCTTCATCGCCATTACCCGTCTTCTCCTCATCCCCGTCTGCAATCATCTCAACCCCTTTTCGTTTCGGAATGACGCGCATAAACGCCTCGGCCCAGTCCTCGCACTCCAGCCACCGCAACATAATCTCCACCACATGGTTCGTAGCGAGAATCTGCCGCGTCCGCAGCTTCATATACTGCCCTATCGGCAACCTGGCCGTGCGAATGCCCCTTTCCACGGCGCGTCTGTAACACAGTCCCTTTTCGCGGTTCTTGTCCACCAGCCCGCCAATGACATAACTCGTGTTTGGCTCCAGCCTCTCCAGCGTGTAGGGCGACTCGGACGTCAGATAGACCACATCCGCGTACTCGTCGTTGAGCTCGGGCACCGGCCCGGACAGGGGGAACGGCTCCCTCTCGTCCTTTTCCCACCTGGCCGGCCTGCCCACACTCCTCTGCAAGGCGTCAATCATCTCGCCCCCCGCGGACCTCATGCCCTCCCGCGCCCGCGCCGCCGCGGCCAGGAAGTCGCCCTCTTCGAAGCCGACCCCCTTCCAGTGAGCGTGCTGGTTCTCCATGGCCGTTTCGAACCGCTCCTTGAGCTTGCCCCGCCACCCGCTGACCCAAAGGTGAGACTTGTACTTGAAGTTGCGGTTCTCCGAGTAGCACCGCGTCACCTGGCTCGACAGCGAAATCCGCTCCTTGTCCGTCATGTACTCCTCAAAGTCGCAGTCGAGAATGAGCGAGACGGGGACAAGGCGCGCGGGCGTCTTCTTGGCGAACAAGACGGCAGGGTCGGCTCCCTGGGCCAGCAGCTCTGCTCGCTCCTCGCGGCGGCGGGCCTTGCTGGCCACGCGCTTCTCTCGCCGGCGTCGCTTGCGGTCCTCCCGGCCGTCCTCCCATTCTTGTGCGCGCCGGAGACGCTTGAGCGCGTTCTTGGAAATGGGTGCCGCCGGCTCTGCATTTTCTGCCCCGGCTGTGCCTGTCTGAGCCGCTGGCGTGGTGGTACCTCGGGGTTGTTGCTGGTCGTCTTGCGCCGTCTGGCCGCTGGTGGTAGTGGCTCCGGGAACGTCCATTGGTCTCTTCTTTTTCAGCGTGATTCCTCTGGCAATTTCCGGTGGAACTTTGGGACTTCTGCTGGATGTAGTTTCTGGACTATGCGGATATTTATGGTGGACTCTTATGGTATGTATACTCGTCAATGAGTTGCGACTTATATGGAATGACCCAAGAAAAATTTGTTGGTTTATGCAGAAGCTTGCTCCGGGATTGACCAACAGGGAGTAACATATACAACAGGCATGTAACAAGAAGAACCAATTTGGCAGCTTGCTAGAATTTAAAAAAAACCTATTTCAAAACGTTAATTTTGCCTGGGTTGAGCCCAGTCGCGCGCTGAGCTCACTCACCTGTCGTGTGAGCACAGGGAAGAATCAAATTGTTGGTGAGCCGCCTCAGCTTGACCAATCCTAAACCTTCCCAGCTAAAAAGTGGAGACGCCTGCACCCAAGCTCCGGCCCAGCCAATCTGCATCGTTCAATTGCTCACAAATCACGTGAAGCCATCGTCGCCTTCACCCCAGAATCCCGTCCGCCCACGCGTGGGAAACTGCGCACAAGCAGCTCAAACAGCTCCTCATCAAACCATCGCAGCCCGGCGCCATGGATCACCACTCGAGCCCGAGCCACCAAGCTCCGCTGGAGCCTGACAAGCCCTACGCTCCCCACGATGTCCTCGACGAGACGGCCAAGACGGCCGTGGTCGGCCTGGGAGGTGGTTTCTTCCTCGCGGCCATTCGGAACGCCATGTCGAAGCGCAACCTCGGCGCCCTGGGAGTATTCACCCGCGGCGCCCCCATTATCGGAATCTGCGGTATGAATTGCCTTTGCTGACCGGCCAGCCTGCCAACGCAATTGGCAACTGGCAATGCGGCGAGCTTTCAAAATTCTCGAGACTAACGGGGGTGGTTTTCGTGCGTGTTCCAGCCGCCGGTCCCGCCGCATACGCCTTCTTCTCCAGAACCATGATGAACCTGCGCGAAAAGGAGGACGCGTGGTCCGCCGCCTTTGGTGGATTCATGTGCGGCGGTGTCTTGGGCCTTCCTTGTACGTCGCAACACCTGTGCAATAAACACCCGCACCGCGAATGACTAGTCATCTAACCAAGCCATGTTATGGAAAAAAAAATACAGCTCGACGAATGCCCGTCGTCGTGGGTCTCGGCAGTGCCGTGGGCGCCATCCAAGGCGCACTATACTTCCTCGGCGGCCGCATTGACTCTTTCAAAAAGGAGTCTGACGAGTTCGAGCGCAAGGAGAGGGTCAGAAGGACGACCAGGCTACCCGTTGAGCAGACTGTTGCCGAGATTGGCGAGGGACGAGGTACGTGCCGACTTGGTAGCCCCCTTTCAAGTTTTTTTTTGGTTAAATGGCCTGCTAATCATGACTGCAACAGGCATTCAGCCTCCTGGATATGAGGAGCGAAGACGCGAGCGCATCAAGGACACGTACGGATTCGAGGTCAACCCCGTCAAGGCCACCGTGGAGGGCAGCCAATAAAGGAGACATGCATAGCTGAGAAGGAATCACACGCCCGTCAGAGAAAAATGTATATACCTCTTCCGGGGCCGGGGGGAAGAGATGTCATTATTAGAGAAATGGAGTTTCTTTGTTTTGTGCAAAGCACGTCAAAATGAGCTTCTCTTATACGATGTGCCTGTGGTGCTGTCACTGGGCTTGAATTAGGAAACCTGTAGTAATGGCATTGCGGAAGAAGACGACCCAAGATTGGGGTGCAGTGCTTGCTTCTTCCAAAGATGACCACGGCGTAGTTTTGCTGTTTATCCTCCTTGGCATGGCAATACTTGGCCAGGTGGGTTACCGTATCTGAGCCATGCACACATGTCTAGAGAACCAGAATCCTGTTGAACACTAGGGCCGGGCGCAGCTGACATAACACAGGAGCGTGCCCGCAATATATCAAATTTTTTGTTTACTGTTTACCCATCCTTCTACATGCCCATAATATACCCCCAAAAATTACCAACGCCTCGACTAGCGAAACCGAACATTGTACAAGTCCAAAATCTACCTCGTCTGGAGCAACCCCTGCCACTCACACTCTCCTTTAATTACAAAGCCCTGACGGATTGAAAGAACGGGTTCGCCAGTAGCTTTGAATCAGCAGCCACAAGCTCCTTTAGCTTGGAGACCTTCTCTTCCTGGCTCATCTCCCCCTTGGAGACCTGCTCCTTCCACTGAATCAATAACTGCTTGAGCATTGCGCTGCCCTCTTCAACATCTTCCTTGCTGTAAGACAGTGCATTGTCCTCATGCTTTGTTGTAAAGTCTTCCAGCTCATCAGCCTTGCGCTTCGCCATGCGGACTACTTTGTCCGGGAAGCGAACCAACTCCGCAACGTGAATACCGAAACTCTGGTCGCAGATACCCGGCTCTACCTTGTACAAGAGGGTGACTTCGCGCTTGTTATTGTCCTTGCCTGTGCCGCTGATGTGTGCTGTGACGTGGAGGTTGCGTACTTGGGGATATTGATCTGCCAGAGCAGTCAATTCGTGGAAGTGAGTTGCAAACATGGCAAAGCAGCCGATTTCCTTGACAATGTGTTCTGAAATGGCCCACGCCAGCCCAAAGCCGTCGTATGTGGATGTGCCTCGTCCAAGCTCATCAATAATGATTAAAGACTCCTTTGTGGCGGATTTTAGAATATTTGCCGTTTCTAGCATCTCGGCCATGAATGTAGATACACCCTTTAGCTGCGAGTCACTGGCGCCAACGCGAGCGAGGATGGAATCAAAGATGGTGAGCTCTGCCTCAGCGCAAGGTACAAAGCAACCAACCTGGGCCATGAGCGCAATGACACCAGCTTGGCGAATATAGGTGGATTTGCCGCCCATGTTGGGGCCAGTGATGATTAGAAAGGACGACTTGTCTCTGGTGAACTCAAGGTCGTTAGTGATGAATTGCACATCATCCTGAAGCTCCATGCAGGGATGGCGGGCACCGATCAACCGGGTTTGGCCTTCGCCGCGGGTGTGAATCTTGGGCCGGACATATGCTTCTGGCGCATGGACGGAGCAATGGGCGAGCGAAACGATCACGTCAAGGTGAGCTAGGACTCCGGCAAGGCGCTCGAGAACGGGGCAGTATGAAGATGCAACATGGACAACCTCATTGACCAGACTGCTCTGAGTCCTGTTGTAATTCTGAGATAGCTGATCATACTCCCGTCGATAAGACTGCATCTTTTTTGTGGTGAAGTAGACGCCGTTTTTTTGTGTAGAGCATTCTTGATAACTTGACTTGTTTCGAATACAGCCGGCTTCTTGCCTGGTCAATCGCATGCAAACTCCATGGACCTTGTGGCTAGTCTCTAGGAATATCTTCTTGTCTGCTTCCTGGCCTAGGTCCCGCGCAGCCTCATGAAATTCTGCCCTGATGTCGCGGTCGAGCTGATCGAGCTTCTTCCGAATAGTTTGCAGGCCCTGGTCGTACTCGGATTTGATAATGTATTCATGCCTGTCGAGTGCATCCAAATCAACAGTCTGTTCCACCATGTCTTGCAATTTGCCGAGATTATCAGAAAGCTCGCGCAACTTGGTCGTGTACGCTGCATCAAGAGGATCTCGATAAGCCTCATCCATCACCCCTTCAAAGGTGCCAATGAATCCAGGCAGTCGAATCACAACCTGGTACGCACGAACGACATCTTCCAAGTTTGCCTTGCCACGCTGAAACCTCTTTGATAGGCGATAGAGGTCCGGCACGGAACGAAGATGTTCTTCCTGCATCGTTTGTCTCAGCTCAGTGTCGGTGAAGAATGCTTCCACTAGCTGTTGACGTTTCTCAATCTCGTCTTTGTCCATCAGGGGCTGCTTCAACCACTGAGCGAGCAGGCGGCTGCCCACCGGCGTCTTGCAATGATTGAGGACGCCATAAATGCTCATAGTCTTTGACCCGTCCCGCGGACCAGGCATCAAATTAAGGGCTTTCAGAGCCGCTGCATCCAGCTTCATGAACTGTGCGAGGTCGTGCTGATAGAGGTGATACTGCCCAAAGTTTGAAGGGTCCTGTAGAACTCCAAGATATTTGATTAATGAGGCGGCGGACCCCATTGCAAGCTTGAGATCAGTCTGGGGGAGAAGATTCACCGACTTATCGTCCTTCAGCAAACGAGCGAGGTCCTGCTCGATATCTCGCGTACCAAAATCCCCCGCAGGACGTTCTGCAATAGCGACTCCGCAGTTGTCAATGATTTGTCTGAGTTTAGCCAATTCGGGGTCCTTATCCTTGTCGCCTTTATCGAGCTGGATGACACATTCCCGAACACCCAGCTGGATGAGCAAGGACTCAAAGTTGGAGTAGAGATCATTGTCTAGGAACTCGCTGACGCCAAGTTCTCTCACACTGGCATCCGCAAAACACACGCCGACAATTCTTGCCTCGGATGCTTTTGCGGAAATCTTGACGGCTATGATCATGGGCGCTGATTCGATTTGACCGCCAAGGTCATCCTCGATGTCTTGCAGATTGCCGGGGGAAGCCTGCTTGACGCATTTCCAGTTCATTCGGCCACTCGGGCTCTCCCAGATTTCAATGCGCTTACCCAGCTTAAACAGAGCTTCTCTAAGAAACTGGCGAAACACGGTAACGGTCATTGTTACGGATGGGAGTCCGGTGTGGTCGTTTCGGCCGAGTTGGCGGAGAACGGATGTCGTTTTGTAGACCTGGCCGACATTAGCACACCAATGGCTGAGGAGAGTCGACGCAGAGAATTACCGTCTTCGCAATGAACGAGGCATTGTCACCATGCGCCGTATACCAGTCGCCTCGGTCGAATATTCTGATAGTGTCTTCCCCTACATCGGGAAGAGACTTGTAGAAACGAATGAAGCCGCCCTCGTCATCGAGCTAAGTCGAGTCGAGTCGAGTCAGCGAATACATAGAAACTCAACATAGGAGCCGTCTTTTTTCTTTTTCTCCTGCAGGTGCTCACCTTCAATTCGGGTCTTGAAGCCATAGTGCAGAATTCTTCTTCGTTGGACCTCACACGCCTTGAATCAAAGGACGGGCAATGACGGAGTTGTGAAAGTCAAGTCGCGTCGTCAACCCCACTGAGCTTGGGAGACGCGTTTTTGGGGATTTCAATTAAAATGTCTGGGCAGCGCGACCCACTAATTTCCCAAGTTGCGGTTGAGAACGTCTTGCAGCCCGTGGCTGACTGTGGCTGACTGTGGCTGACCACCACCATGTCGTGTGGCCAGCAGGCAAACTCAGGGACGGAAGTCATCTACATAACAGCACCAAGGACTCTCCGTAGAATTGCAAAGGACTTGTAAATACGGAGTCCTAGCGAACCGTATGACTCCTCTAGCATACTGTACTCAGTATTGCACTTATTGATGTCTTTGATGCACACCACACCGAAAGCCGCCACTCCAGAATCCACACTCCACACTTCACACAGAAGAAGAAGTCCTTTGGCCTCGCGAGCGACGAACCGATGCGGTATTGGCGAGAGGGTAGCAGGTGAACGTCCAGCATGTACATTAAACGCAACGCAAGTAGTCCAAGAGTTCATCAATCGTCAATTTACGAGTAGGCTAACCAACCAAGCGTAGTCATGGTCAGATAGACCGGCCAGACCATGGCTATGGCTAATGACGGTCCGCCATTGTCCATCCCGTCGATTCCTACATGGGATGACACCCTATGCAATGTTTTACGCCTTCGGATGATGATGGGTAAACTTTATGCATACGATACCACTCTATGGAGAGCACTTTTGTTGCCAAATACCTGCAACTTGTGTGCTAGTGGACCGTTTACTTCACCTGGGTCGCACAGCAGTCTGCTTACACGCATGATCAACAAGGCTACGTGACTATATTATTGCAGACTGCAAACGCGCCAAGAACTCTAAATGGCCGAATCATATAGAATTGGCCAATTCTCGGACAACTTCAGGCCACAACTCGGAGCTTATTCCCGTCAGATGCCACTCAGCTACGGAGGAGATACAAACACTTCACACCCAGGAGTCAAGACTCCATCCTATTATCACAAGGTTACGCTCCTGGGCCTTACACCTGGGTGGACAGCTTTATGGTTAATATCGTCTTGGCAGATCGACCTTCTGTCATAATGCACATAACGTTGCCCCTTCCGGACACCTCCGCGCCGGCCCCAAACCCGGGGGTTTTTATCACCAACGAACGTCAAGGCAACCTTGATTATGACCAACGTCAAGGTATGAATGTAATGACAGCGCATGCAAACCGCAGGATAGCTGGTCTTGGCAACAAGGATCGTCCATACCATCAAGGTGCTGCCGCCCCTCCGCCAACCATTGTGTCCATCAAGGTTCACCATCGTCGACAAGCTGAGTCCAGCCGCCCAAAGCGTCAGAGCCAAGGCCGAATTTTTTTTTTCCTTTAGTGCTGCTCGACAACATGGGCGGTGCATCGACATGGAGGCACAAGGGCATGCATGGGGTGGGTATGAGCTGAATCTTTTTTCCCCTTCGACCAGGAAGTGACTTTTGTGGATTGTCCCTGTGCTTCATCGATACTTTATTATAACTTTATAGCCCAAGGTTAAGTGCCCAAAACTGTCCACGGCTTCTGGCTTTCTGGCCCTCGCAACAATATACATACAGCGGCTCGAAAACCTTCCTGCGGCTCCGCTAAGGTTTGGTGTGGCTAATGAAGCTTAAGTTGCAAGCTTAAATCTTGTCGAGTTTGCAGCACCACCAATCATACATGCCTTTGACTACTTAAAGCAGCAGCATCCCTCTCTGCAAACAAGACTTACGAGTTCCGACGACATCTCGCTACACTCTTTTCTCTTTGCACAATCACGACGACAATTAAAACATATTTTCAATCATGCACGTCCCCTCATTCGCCGGACTGGCCCTCTTGGGCGCCGCAACCGCAAACGACGTCTATCCACGACAGACCGCTGCGCCGTCTCCTACAAGTGCGGCGGCACCGCAGATTACCGCTGTTACGGACTGCCATCTTCACGAATCGCAAGTGTACGTACATTCTGGAGAAAACTGAACCGTCATGGAGACGCTTTTAACTCACAGGCATCATGCTGCAGATTCTGTCTGGCGGGAGCAACCGAATATCTCGTTCACACCACGCCCACCCAGACCACAGACATTCCCGCCCAATTCACGGGATGTCACAACCATGGCTCTGAAACGTAATTTTGATTCGATTCCCTTGGTAGCTGTATTTTCTGCTTGTATGCTGACAGCATCGACAGGTTCTGCATCGCCCCCAACGGAGACGACGTCGAAGTCAACGTCCCCGGCGCCGGAGGCGACACCCATCAAGAAGGAGACCAACATGGCAGCGATTCCAAAGACAGCGGCCACAAGCACTGTCATTTCCACGCTGGCGTAGAGTACGTCACATCTCGGCCCCTTTCCAGACTTCCAGCCCGTCTTCGACTCGGCTAACTGTTCATTAGACACTGCGTAGGCGGCGACGAAAGTGAATCCGCCGCGCCAAATTGCGACAGCACGCCCAGGGAATACAACATTGGCCTGCGAGTCGGCCTGCTCTTCGTCATCATGGCCACGAGTGCCTTGGGTACGCTCCAAAACTCCAACCAAGTAGCAAAACGTGCACGACATGTACTAACGAGGAACCAGGTGTATTTGGTCCCATCTTCCTACACAAAGTCCTACCCAGGAGACTCTCCAAACTCTTCACGCTCCTCAAACAATTCGGTACCGGGATTATCATCTCAACCGCCTTTGTTCATGTAAGTCTGCCCCCCAACCCCCGGGCCAACTCTTCGCACGACACCGAGAGCAAAACCTAACATGATTTTTTTTTCTCAGCTCTTCACCCACGCCGCCCTCATGTTCGGCAACAAGTGCATCGGCGAACTGGGCTACGAAGGAACCACAGCCGCCATCCTCATGGCCGGCATCTTCCTCTCCTTCTTCGTCGAATACATTGGTCAGCGGATCGTCCTCGCCAAGACCAGGTCCACTGCCTTGTTGACCAGAGAGAAACAAGCAGAGGCCTTGTTGTCCACCGAGGTGGTGAGCATCTTGGTCATGGAGGCGGGCATCTTGTTCCATTCTTTGCGTAAGAAACTTTTTCCCTCCTCCCTTCCCCTTCCCATAACCGGCATCGTGCACAAATATTTGTATTATGGCTTGTTAACCACTTGACCAGTTATCGGATTGACTCTTGTCGTCGCTGGAGATTCCTTCTTCATTACCTTGTTCATTGTCATTCTTTTCCACCAAGTCTTCGAAGGCCTGGCACTCGGAACCCGAATTGCCACGATTGGAAGTTCCGCCGATGTCCATCTCCTGCCCCCCGCCGTCAATCACTCTGGCACAGCCGTCGAAAATGATACGGATAAGTCGGTTCATACTCCGACTGAGGAGACAGCAGACGCCTCTTCGACTTTTGACCGCCCTACATTGTCCATGAAGAAGAAACTCGGTCTTGCTGCCCTCTTCGCATTTGTTACGCCCATCGGCATGGCCATCGGCATTGGTGTCCTGCAAAAGTTCAATGGCAATGACAGATCAACCCTTCTTGCAATCGGCACTCTGGACGCCCTTTCGGCCGGCATCTTGGTTTGGACTGGCCTTGTGGAAATGTGGGCGGCTGACTGGATGACCGGCTCTCATGGTCACAAAGCCGAGTTGGCTGATGCAGATATGCTTACCGTCGGCCTTGGTGGATTTGGTCTAGTGGCTGGTATGGTGCTGATGAGCTTCCTGGGCAAGTGGGCGTAGACAACGCATATCTTTTTTTCTGGCTTACTGTTAAGATGATTACGATCCAAAGTACCGGCGAAAGTACCAGCTCGAAAACCTCATTTGATTCCCCAAGCATGTAGAGATTGCTGGAGTTGCAAGCTTGAAAAATTGGTACATTAATCTGATAAAACGGAGGAAAAAGCTCGCCATCTAGCTTGTCATCTAGTAGAGAAAGTAACTTGTAGCTTGTAGCAACATGAAGTTATGCTTTTCCCTGAATACATTTGACAGATGGATGATATTTGTTATAACATTGTGAAGTTCATTTCTCTGGGGATCATTTCCTCCACACTAGTTTCTGTTCTTCGACTTAGAAATAGTGGAATTGGTCGCATTTCGTGGCAGTACTTGGATGGTACGTCTATCCAAGTCTACAACATCCCAGTGATCCGATATTTTTGGGTTCCCGTATGGCCGCAAAGCGGCAATGCGCATGCTAATGGGAAACCGTTAGCCAATTCTTCTTTCCACGACGAAACGGAGCACTTTGTTATTACGTGTAGTTGCCTGGAGATATCTGTGTGCCGTTTGACAATTTTCCGAACCACCAATATCGCTGATATCCTCGGGGTATTCGAGTCAGAGGGAATGAAACTGTGTCATTTATGTCGACGTCTGACGCATCGAACCATAAGAACTTGTCCGAATCACGCACTGAAGTGGCAGACCCAACATATTCTCTTTTGCCAATTTCGGGGGGGAATCGCCATTGTGATTCAGTCCAACCAGCGTCGAAAATCTGCTCCATGGTTAGTACAGCCCACCCATAAGACGCATAGGGTTTCAGGTTTAACTCACATCCCAGCGGAGATGAAAACAGGGGTAGCTGAGTCGACTGGATACATCGGCAAAGTCGCTAGGCGTTTTTGCAGGGTCAAAAGACCACCTGTAGTGATGGCATTAGTGTATGCAGAGAGCAAAGGCGATCATTATTCACAAACGTAGCACCGTCGCGCCAACCGTCTATCATAGGTGCACCATCGAACATGGTGTCAAATGCTTTCTCGGTATCATAAGCAGCCCCTGTCCTAAATTATCAGCTACCTAGCTTTTAGAAGGTGTGTGCAAGAAAATCTAGTGGTTACCTCCGTATGGAATGCATAGCTGCTCGCCATTATTGCCTTTCATCCATATTTTGCCGCTGAATAATGGAAGCATGTCATCGTCGGCCCCAGCCGGCAGCTCAAATCTAACTCTACATGGAGAAAAAAAATCAGCCGAATCTAATTAGTCTTCAACAGGTTGCCTACCTGAGTGTCTTGGTCTGACCAGAGTGAAGGGTCGTGTTTGGAGGGAGAGAAAGGCCTGGCACGATTCTGAGAGGCTGTAGTTGAGATAAAGGGCGAATATCGCTGACTCCATCATATATTTCTACTCCTGGAAGAGACTCGTGTGCAAATGTGTATATAACTGTTTGGTTCGCGTTATTCGTTATTTCAATGTCCCACTCAGCTTGGAACAACTCGGTATCGAGAAGCGAGATGGGTTCAAATGAAACTTGCGTGGTATAATTCAATACCTTCCAGGCGTCCACTAGCCCCGTCCCGACCTGGAAAGGGGGCGCAGATTCGTTGAAAACAACGTCGCCTGCACTCCAAGCAACATTTCGACCACTTGCAACAATTCTTTGAGCCAGTTTTTTTGCAAAGCTTGGGCCATGGAGCTCTCTACCACCATGGTGTGCGATATACAAAGCTGCGATGCCAGCGATGTACGGTGCCGCCATAGACGATCCACTGTCTGTCTCAAATCCTTGGTCAAGGTAAGTACTGAGAATGTTGTACCCAGGTGCCCCGATGTCTGGTTTCATGATAAGTTCGTTTGTTGGCCCCCAGGAAGTAAAGTATGCGGCAATTGGTCTATGCTGTGAATCTGAGTTTGAATCTGGATCTGATATCAGTGGATTGCCTGTGGCATTAATGGCTGCCACCGAGACGACGTGGCGTCCGTTCGACCCTACTCCAGAGTAAAACGGCCCTCTTGTTCCCTCGTTTCCTGCAGCGATAGATACAAACACCCCACGTTCAACAATTCGGTTGGCAACCAAAGCCCACGGACTATCGCTAAATCCACCAGGTCGGTTGACGCTGGCCGTAATTACATCGGCCTGTCACGAGTCAACTTGGATTCTAAAAGAGAGAGAGGAACCGCATACGCCAGCAGTATATGCGTCACAGAAGGCTTGTATAAGGACGTCTTCGGTTGTATCTGATGGGATAGGCTCCTGTGGTTCCTGTAAGCTGCAAGCTTTCTAGGGAATTTGTCCCGACATACATCTGAGAAGACCTTGAATATCAAGAGTTCTGCGCCAGGGGCCACCCCAGTAAACCTGTTCCGAAAACTATCAGCAATATTCGCCGGAAGGTAGTTCGGTATAAGCAAAACTAGCCACTCGTTTTCACCCGCTATTATTCCAGCGACGTGAGTCCCATGCCCTTTATAGTCCATGGGATTATTATCGGGTTTCTTAGGGCGAGTCCGCTCAGAACGAGAATCCCCTGTAAAGGCTCAGTCAAGGGCTTTGCAAAAATTTGGGGGAGGATTATGCTTGAGAAAGTGTACATTCCGGTCCTACAAGATCATATCCCCCGGCAACCTTGCATCCGGGGCCAAAACAGCCGCCAAGCTGTAGGAGTCAGTAGTCAGCACAGTCATATTCATGATTCTCACGCACGAACCGCCGGGTGGGAATAGTCGATTCCGGTGTCCACAACCGCGACTTTGACGCCTTTTCCTCTCATTCCAGCCTCGTGAAGCTTGTCTACTCCGGTCCAATGATGGACTGAGTAGTTTACTGGCCGATTTCCGTTGATTTCATTGGTAAGATCGGGCGAACGAGGGGTTGACAGCGTTGTGACAGGCCACACATTGGCTACACCAGGAATGGCTTGGATGAGATCAATGTTTTCAGCATATGTGGTAACCGTGGCTCCAGTAAAAATGTCTTCACAGTCAAATTGCTTATGATCACCTGCATGTAGGTTATCGAAAAGTCGAGATAGGAAGTGTGGGGAGTCTCCCTGATACATCAGGTTAGTACCTGGAGGATGACGAAGAATGCAGAGTTGTATTGGATACCCCGGTGGTTTCGACGATGTACTTTTGTACTATCCCGTTGCCTGGTGCGCCATTCGGGGTTGACGACAGTGGCCAGGCCGGTAACTGGGTGATAGCCGCAGCAGCATTAGATAGAATGCCCGCCGCTAGCATATGAAACATAGAAGCAACCAGCATTTTGGCTCGATGGGGGGATCGTGAGGTATATCTCGGGTAAACAGCTTCGTACTGTGAAGTCTGGTTAGTTTGAACAAGGGATAAAGTTGGAAAGAAGCTAAGTAGCACCCTACTTACTGAGAGTTCGTAGCGGAGGCTTTGAGCTTTCATCTGTGTGAGACGTCAAGGAGCAATGATGGTTGCGAATGAAGCGGCAAGATGAGTGATGAAATCTACTAGACGGTCACGACTAGATTTGTTTGAATTGGCTTCATGGCTCTTGTCTGCTTCGGCTAGATCACGCCGGGTCGCTACTATTTAGCTCTCCCATTGGTTCAGTTCACATGGGGAAAGAATCACAAGAGGAAGGAACAGGTCACACAGGCCTCTGTGCTCAAGGAGATGATACCAATCCAAGATGCAAACATACAACATTTGTTGGCGATATTGACGAGGATGGACTGAGCCACGGCAAGCTTTAGACACAACTTGGTTCTGATATGACCTCATCACAAGACTCTACGCAAACTGGATGCCATCTTGGAAATAACCATCGTTTTTCAACGGTACAAACACACGGGACAAGAGCCGAACGGGGCCACAATAGCTAATGAGGTCGATAGGTCTTCTGTCACAAAGGAGAGACAGGCAAATTAAGTCATCATACTTGATGGCTCTCTCTTCCACGAATAGTCTGCAGATACAAACTTGCAGCCAGAGGTGTCGTGCGGACCATCTCACGGGAGGCTTCCCTGACTAGCGGATTGCGAGAAGAGACCAAGGGAAAGCGGGTAATCGTTCCCGAATGCTGATAGAGTGGGTGAACTAGACCAGGCAACTTTACGAATCTTGCTCATGTGGGTACAGGTGGATGGCATACAGAAACTGCGTAAACGCAGGAGCTGGCGCCGTCGTTTCCGAAATCGTTGATTGGGCACCACGGATTAAGGAAAGAACAACTCACGTTTGCACCACCGTTAGTGTTGATGAGTATCCGACAATGCCGGTTTGGCGGTTGATGACTCAAGCAGCGACCAGAAGACGACACAACCCGAGGCGGTTGGCGGTTCACGGTTGTCGACATGCAGAATAGCACCGTCAGATGAGCCAATCTAACGTAAAAGCTTGTCCTCAACAAGCAACATGGGCGGGGGAAAACGGTCAACGGACTACGAAAGACGACATGACCGAGTTGCACCCCCGCACGATGGGTTGGTGATGCATGCACTTCCGCATTTCGTACCTGCGCTAAACTTCCAAGGGTGCACTGAAGTATGTACTAGGTAGACTTTAATAAATGTCAAGTTCGAAAGCAGCCACCAGTCGGCCAGCCAGCGGCTGCTTTAAAGTGGTGCATAGGCATCACTAATGACAATTGACGCGAAGTCGGCACGAGGCATGTCCCGATCTGGGCAGTTGAAGCATCGATACGAAGGATTCCGTACAAGACTCTCACTCGCATCAACTCGAGCAATAATCATCTGCCATAATAACAGAGACGTTAGACGTTGCTTTCATTTCCCCATTTTGACCTCCGCTATGATGGGCGCACAGAAGCTCCAATGACCATCCACGGTTGAGAAATTAGATTGACATCATAAGCAGCGCCACCAGGGCTTGACATCGGGCCCGTAGCACCGAACGCACAGACTGGCTTGAAATATTCAAAGTTGGGGAGCCGAATAATCATCAGTACAGCAAAAGGTCATCGATGGGAGGATTTTCGATGGCGGACATTGGAGAATCAACGCATACATATAGAGTACAGACACGTAAGAAACGACGAATGGTCCAGAGCTAGGTGGCGCAGTTGGATACAAATGACTAAGTTGCCTGCAGCTTGCATTGCGAGAAATCCATATCAGCCTGTTTGCGCCATCTGGCATTGCTCCGTAACTAGTACCAAGGACCTTATATCCACCAAGCTGAGTCTTGCCACCGGTGGGCATCAAGCTATTTATCCTTGCTCGCGTGTCAACCAGGTCGTACTCCATGCTACCTAACTACTAGGTACCTACTAACTAGTAGGTATTCCGTACGCTATACCAGGCTCTCCAGTTGGCCCGGTGCTCCAGACCGAGTAGTATGGAGCCAACAAACACATTGTGTTTCCAATCCATAATGACTTGGCTAATGGCAGTACTGTACTCCGTACTGAATACATCTATCTATCTGGGTGCCTTCCAGCGGCCTCCACCATGCCTGTCGCGAGGAGGTAACCTCGGTGCCGTGTTGCCATGTCGCCGTGATGCCCAATATATTACTTGAAATAATAAATCCTCGAGTGTCTGGTGGTAGTACTCGTTACTCTGTGGTGGTGGGCGCATGGATCAACCAGACACGTCTCTGATCCAGGAACTCCAGGAACCACACCACTCAGCTCTTAGCATTCAATGCCCCTGCCAGCGGCAACCGGGCCCCCGGTCTATTCTGAGGACTGAGGACTAATTCCTGCAACCAGTCAAAACAGTCAGCCAATCACGTTGCCCGACACCCAGACCCAGACACCCGAAATGGACCCAGTATCAATGTTGCCCAAAGTTGCCCATCATCCGGGCCACTAAGCTAAAAGCATCCCCAGTTGCGCATCCACTCTCCATCCACTCTCCATCCACTCCCTCTCAGTCCATGTCGACATCTGGACCTTCTCCCGCTCGACTGCTACTTCACCGTGTCGTCCGTCCCTCCTTTTCGTTATCACCCTCACCAGTTATGTACCCCCTGCACTGATTGTGCTCTCGCTCTTTTCCTTTGCTATCGTTCCTCTTGGCCAAGATTGGGATACTCCTGGTGAATCCCTACATCGAATTGCTCTCAGTACACTCTCGTTTTGAATGTCTCAAAAACCGGTCTTGTAGCCTCGCAACCGCCAAATTAGCACCATCTCCTCTCGAGACGCACCCTTCATTTTTATACCCTCATTTAGCGGCTCAGTCTTGAATCTTGACGGCGGCATCAACTCCTGTCCGACCCCCGTACTCCCTAGCTGCCTTCTCCAGGTGGCCACTTGAGCGGTCGAAACAAGCTCCAATCGGCTTCTTCCAACTGGCACAGCGCAAGACGTTCATTTCCTCTTCTCCGACCTGTTACTTCGTTCTACCCTTCACCCATCATGGGCCAAAGCCTCATCGACAGAATCCAGGCCAAACTGGAGCTCCTCCGCCTCGAGCAGCGATATACCCGTCGTCGCAATCGCCGATCCACCTTCCAGTCGAATGCAATCTACGTTGACGGTGAATACGTCTACCAAACGCCAAACACCACTGGCTCATCCACAGATTCCAGCAACGCTCATGTAGATGCACTCCACGGGGAAATGGTGTCGCCCGGCAAGAACATGCCCGTCACTACCTTCCCCTCCGAGTCCCGCCCCGAAATCTCCATGCCTGAACGCAAAAAATTGAACCGATTCAGCTCCATCCCCAGCCTCGGCAGTGTTTTTGGGTCCAAGGAAAGACCTCGAGTTGTCGAGAGACGCACCAGCATGATCAGATGATGGTCCAACTTGCTTCTTGTGTATAGTTGTTTAACATGGCCTGATGTGAGATGCGCCCTTGACAAGAATATGCTGGCATCCTTGAAACCCAAACCCTCGGTCCAAGGGTCCGCCATGTAGAGAGAACATGACGCGGGGGAAGGGCAAATCAACAAGATGTTTCCAGGTCCGCAAGGATGAGGGCAAAGGAAGAGCACAGAAGATGTCTAATGGATCTCTCCCGTCGCGAGGAAATAACATGGGTGCGACTCTTTCACGAATTACCTCGTCATGCCTAGTTCAGCGTTCGTCATCTACCTCGGTTTTTTTTTTTTTTTAATAATTTTTTTTTGTTGGGATCATGGGTCAAGGCCTCATCGGTTGAGGTTCCGTCTTCAGGGAGTTGGGTACGTCCAAAAAGCACTTGCCATCGGGCACGTCGAGTCTCGACCGCTTCACATTGGAGCTCTTCGGTGTGGTTTGCCGTACATGGTTGTAGAGCGTATTTTGGTTTGCTACGATTAAAAAAAAAATTTTTTAAACCACGCGCTTCAGCTTGTACATAGATTTGTCTGGATGAAATTGTTGACACTTTTGTTCCGAGTCGCTTCTACGTGTGCCTCTGTCTCTTCAGGGCAAAGCTACAATCAATCCCCTTTTCCCATGGACTGGAAGAATTGCACCAAGGGCCAGGCATGGCACGAGAGCCACCATGTCTCTGACCCTCGTTTTAGACACCGGTGGCCAACTGTCTCGTGTGAGCACCCAACTGAACGGTGCGACATTCCTAAACCGTTTGTTTCGAGCTCGTCCGCCGAGAAGGGCGCCTCGTGAGACCAACGAGGTTTGAAACCGGTGGGGGGGTTGCCGGTTCATGCTTTGAGGCCCGAGTGCTGGTAGCCAATGCCGCTGTCAAGCTGTCATGTGTCTGGTGAGTTTCGGCGCGAACTGGTGGATGGATGGGATGGGATGGGATGCCGTGTGACCGTGACGATTGGCCCTAAGCCATTGGCCGTTGTAACTTGTGGAGAACGGCGTCGCGGCGACTACGGAAATAACGTCTTTGATGCTTTAACTTTACTTGGGCTGCCACGGAATGATTGGGCTGCAGACTGCACGACAAGAAAAAGAGAGAAAGAGGAGGAGGAGGATTGATGTGCTGGCAACGAATGAAAAATCCACCAGACGACACAGTTGTCTACTTTGGGAGAATTGAAATAACTTAAATAAGACGCCTGGCTGGACCTAGATCATGAAGACAGTCGCCTTGTCGCCCGACGCTGCAGGATAAGCTATCGACCGAGACACATCACATCACCTGGCCACAAAAAACAAAAGGCT